TCCACGCACCGGTGGCAGCGGCTGCACTGGCGGAGGAGGCCGCCAGGGTGGGATAAAGCACCATGGGCGGCCGCACACCGGCATTCCCGCCCAAGGAGACCTTCCCGCCGCCCCTGAGGCGACGGAGCCCCGCGCGGCTCCGGGGACCTTCTGTGGCACACAAGTGTCCCAAACCGGCGTAACAGACACCTCAGTCCAGCCCTTAGGCCATCACTGTGATGTATTTATTTTGCAAGCTTAGAAATACCCGCTCCCAGGGAACGATAACGGTCCCTTTCAGGCAGAAAGCCCTCAAATACCTCCCTGTGCAGGTCACAGCGTCGCTGTGCTCTGCTTCGTGCCCCTGTCCTGCTCCGCGGATGGGTTTCCCACCACGCAGAGCTTTTGAGGATGGAGCCGCCGTTCCGGACAGCTCGCTCCGGAGGGGAAACCAAACGTGGCTGAAGGAAACGTCCCCACCATGGGTCGCCATCAGTGCCAGGGCTGCCCTGGGTGCCCGTGGCCGCAGCGATACCAGGCCAAGGGCGGCAGCCAGCGCCTCGGTGCCGGTGTGAGAACCCGGACAGCACGGAGGGTTTTAACGTCCCCTCATCTCTCGCTTTTGTAGCAAGGCTCCTATAGACCGGCCCGCCAAATGCCATTCCCCTGCAGGGATATGAAATGTCCTCCCTGGATGTTTTCCCTAACACGTGTCATCTGAGGAAATGTGATTTTGGTTGTCCTGGCTGGCTTTGTAGAATATATATATTCTGTAAATACCATCCACAGCTTGCACCCAGACCTACAACTGCCTGTTTACATTGTACATTAAACTCTATACGCACAATTCAAACACTAAGTTGTGATGGTATCTCAGCTTTGCCACCTTCCTGTTTAACCTGCACTTATAAAATTTGCTAAATTAAGACATCGAGTCCCTTCCTAGCATGAAGCTTTATAACTGATTTGCTTTGCTAATCAAATGAAACCAATTTGGGCCTTGATAGGGGCACGTCCCATGTCAAAAGACACTTTGGAAGAAAGGGAACAGCAACCCCCCTTCTCTCTCTTTTTATCAGCTTGCCTGGGATATCACACAAGGGATACTGACCTTTGCCATTGAGTTTGGGGAATTTTTGCAGCCAAATGCAAACACATCCCTGCCCCAGAGGGCTGAAGCGGCTGTTTTCCACGTTCGGAAACGGGAGCAGCGGCTAAAGGAGAGTTTCTCGTATGAGCATCGCTATTCTGTACCGCGTTAGCCAACTCAAACAAACCGAGCTCTGTTTATTTACTCACTCGGTTGCTGACTCGATTCAGCTACCCAGGCCACATTAACCCAGGTGTAATTGCAGAGAGGCTGCACCTTGGCTGAGTTTGGCTGCTCGTGCACATTCTTACCGGGGTGATGTGGACTAGAGGATTCAGCAATCAGGGTTCAAGCAGCTGTTCACAGCTTTCCTGAGCAAACATCAATAGCCCGGAGGTAAAAGCAATACAGAGTTGCAATTTCTAAGTGTCCCATCTAATTGAGCAGGAATAATGAAAACAAAGAATAAAAAAGCAAGCCCTGCAGCGTGTAAACAAATAGCTCAGATGCACCCAGGGCACCGTGCCTACCATCGGAACAGCTCTGCACTGATCCTGTTTTGTGCAAACACTCCTGAACGCTTCCCTGGCCCCGGAATTGCATTCCGGAGCCGCTCAGCCCTTTTCACCTGGAATTCCCAAGCAGCCGTTCTTCTCCTCAACCATCCATATCCCGCATCTTCTGCAGACGTGAGGGCTCGAGCTTGTGGTCAACTTCAGGTAGGTTGGAGGAAATGAACACGGGGTTTGTGGGAAGTCATGAATTTGGGTGGAAAGGCTGGAAATAGGACTGTTTCGTCTTCTCTGGTGTCTATCTCAAATTATTCTGTGGCCAATTGCTCTTTATCCATGTGCCAGTGCAGACCTTTCTGTTTTGCCTCCTTCCTAGGTATTTAGCCTTCCTTTTTTTTTGGATTCCAGGAAACTATATACTTTGCAACTCCTCCTTTCTTTAAATCTTTAAGCTAGCCAAGTGCATTTAGTTGCCTCTTGTGATGCCGTGTGTTTTGCGCATCCTCGGAGTCCCTTTTTGTGCCTGTTTCGCACCAAATTCCTGCCTTGACCCTGTGTGCTACATCCTACACCAGACAGCGCCGGGGGAGGTGAAGGTCTTCCCAATGCCTTGGATTGGCACGTCTGCACCTGGAAGTTCGCTGGAATTCCGTAGACACGCAGTGTCTGCAGGCAGATGCGGGCACGAGCGCCAGGAGGGTTAGGGCCGCCTGGGAATTGTGTTCTGGATGTTCCCAAGCACGATTCCTGGCCGGCACATGTGCAGGCTGCGGCGAAGGCAGCCCGGTTCCCCCGGCACATCCCAGCTGGGACGCAGCTTGGGAAAGGAAGCGTCTCAGGAAGCCTGTCCTAGAGGCGTTCCTCGTGGTGACGGGAGTCCTCACTAACGAAGCGCTGCGTTTTGGGGGGAAGGTGAGGGATGTGTCTGCAGCTCAAGTTGCCCTTTCCGCCGAGTTTGCACGGAGGGCGTATGGGCAAATCCAAACCCGTGTGTCCAGAGGAGCCGCGTTTCCCTCTTGCTGGAAAGCACGGAAAATGCTTGGTTCCGGTCCGCAAAAACCCAATGGGCCGGGGCACTTCGCTTGTGTCGAAAGCCCAGGACGGATGATGGGGCACGAGCACTTGGGGGAGCGTTGGGGACTCTGCATGCCAAGAGAGCCCTGTGGTGGCCCTGGCTTCCAGGCAGCCCCCTGCGAACGGCCTCGATGGTGCCTGGAGCCGGGGGCTGCTTCAGGCACCTCTCCCAAGCCCGAAATTCCAGCGTTCCCAGAGCCGCCCGGCTTATCTGCCCTGGGAGCTCGGCTATTTATAGCCAGGTATTTGAGGACTTCGCAGCTGCGTTGCAGAGTGCTCACGGGGAAGGGGAACGTTAAAATAAATTACCTTAAACCTCCCGAGTTCAGCAAAGGCAGAAGGTTTGTCCACCGAGAGCCCCGAGCGCCACTTTGGTGCCTCCTCTCCCTCGGCAGCGTCGTTAAATCTTTTGGGTTTGTTCATGACCACATGTGAGAGCTCTGCCATATGCTGGTGTGCGTGGGAAAGAGGAAGCTCTATCCATAATTCCTAACACCGCTCGCAGAGGAGCCTGTTTCCATAGACCCTATGGAATTAAAAACACGTGGCCGTTCAGTCACCCTGGGCTGTCTCATCCGCGGGGAATCCTCCTAAAAAACCAGCAGTACCGACAAGGAGACCGGGCTTTTAAGTGACAGAATGAGCTGGGTTCATGGTTCAAAAGCCCTCCCCGAGCTGTAAGTCTGAGAAAATGTGAGGAAAATGTCCCTGTGTAGCTCCAAGGAACAGCTGGAGAGCGGCTCTCCAGGAGCATTTCCAACAACTCCCAACAAAAACACTAAGTTCCAGGTTTAGTAAAATCTAGATGCCCAGAAGCATCATTTATTGCAAATCAGTTAACCAAAAAAATACATCATTTTTGCAAACTACAACTTTGCATGTAGATAACTTTATTACAGAAGATATCTTTTCTTAAACTACACTCTAGTTTATAAAACATAGGAAGATTTAACACCACGTGATGTTTAAATCACTCATGTTAAGGATGTCACAATAACAACGCTCTGAAATGTTAACTAAGACGAGTGCTCAACAAAGCTTTGTGCTTTGAGAAGTATCCATTGTATTTGGTGTTCTAATAAAAAGGAACCAGGATTGTTTCCCTTTCTTAGGTTTTCTTGATTAATTGCTGTCTATTTGCATGTCTCATATGCAGATCTAATCGTAGTCTATCTCCTTAACTTTGCAGCCCAAGTGGGGGATATTCCAACACCTCTATAAGGTGATATATTTATGATATATTTAAGACTTGATCATTTAGATTTTTGAAACAAAATCCACCTTTTCTTAAAAAAAAACTGAAAAAAACATATTTACAAACATTAAATCTGCCACAGGCGTATACTATATTTTACATATTTGTCTGCGTGTGTTCTCCACACCTGTACGAAAGGGAGCATCAATGTAAAAAAAGATGCAGCCCTCCAGACCCAGAAGACCAGAATGTCGCCGTGTGCTGGCGCTGGTGGCAGCGCCGCGATGGCCGGGAGCGCCCGGCCGCCCTCCCGAACACAGGTAAGGCCGTCCTTAAAATAAGGACGTGGTTCAAATCTCAGCATTTAGTTCCTTAACAGTCACTCAACTGCAAAAACAAGAATCGCCTGTAAAGATATTTAAAGTACAATGAAGTTTCCTGTATGTATAAAATCCAGTTATGGGTTTGCTTTTAAGAAAAAAAAAAGGTTGGACAGATACTCTTTGCTTTTGGGCAGCGTTCATGTTTTGTAGGTTTTTGTTTAGCTTAGGACCTGTTGTTACAGGTCTCTAATCTTGCTTTTTTATCATAAAAATCATTTAAATATATATTTTTATATATATAAAAAGAGAGAGAACAAGAGTTTCTATTAGCAAGGCAAATGTACAACTATATAATACTGAAACTTTAAACAAAGATTCATGATCGGTACCATAAAATGTCCTCTCTGATGCAGTAGTCAGGAAACATTTTAAAGTACATTTCAAAAAATCAGTTCATATTCCCTTTTTTCCCCTAAAACGTGGTTGTTAATTTCCCTTTCCTTTTTTTAAATTATTTTTTCTTCTTTTCTCACATTTTTTTCTAGGTTGTAAGAGAAAAAAATAAATTAATATTTCAGAATCATGAATCATTGCTTATAGCTTTAGATAAACATTTCTTCTCAAATTAACACAATGAAAAAAACCCAAAGAACAAAAGAGAATGTTTTGTAAAAAATCTCATTTTTTTGCTTCCTTGGAACACAGCTGAAGTGCCCCGCATTGAGTTCTTAACAATAGAACATATAAATAAAAAAAGGCAGTGTTTCATGTAAAATAAAAAGTACATAAATAAATACTAAAAAAAAATTAATTTGTCTTTTTTTTAATTTTTGTATAAAAACATATTTTAAAAGGATCCTTTAATAAAAGCATCCAGTGTTCTTTTAAGAAGAGCTCCCTCGAGGTTCTGGCTCCCGCCGAGCAGCAGCGTCTCTGGAGCCCGTGTCTCACTTGAAGGCTTCGGGGATGTGGCCCATCTGTGACTGCATACTCGTGGGAGGGCTGGAGATGCCCTCGGACCAGTCGGACACGTTGGAATGAGGCGAGGAGCTCGACCACTGGTCGGGCGACTCCGGCGACGGCGTGAGGAAAGGGTGGTCGGGCACCTGGAGCTGGTGGCTGGGAGTGTTGTCCAAGGGGGAGGAATAGCTGTGCTGCGAGGGGGGCGTCAGGAACTGCGTCGTGGTCATGGGCTGCGCCAGCGAGGACGGCAGCGACGTGGGCAGCAG